CATTCCCATCTGCCGCCCCAAACCCCAATACACCCCGCCTGCCCCCAACCTCACTCCCACCTGCCGCCCCAAACAAACCCCAATATACCCGGCGTGCCCCCCATCTTCACTCCCCGTGCACCACCCAAGTAACAAGCCCCCCCCTCCCCGGACCGCACCTGCCCCTCGCTCACCCGCCTGAAGCCGAGCCGTCTGCCGGGCTCCCGCAACTGGGGCCGCCCCGCTGTGCCATGAACAGAGACGCCGGGGTAGAGAGCAGCTGCGCGGGCAGGAGGCGCCCGGCTGGCAGCGGAGTGGAGCGAAGCGAGGAACTGGGTGCGCTGGCAGCCACCGCTGCAGCCCCAGCCCCAGCGTGACAGGCAGAGCGGGCGAGAGGCTGCGCCGATCCCCGCGGAGGAGGGAAGCCTGGCACGGAGAGCCAGGGAGCGAGCGCCCGCTGCTGCCAGCCTCGCTCAGGTGCAAACATAGGACTCGGAGCCTCCTCCCCCGCGTCCGGGGCCAGCCCCTCCGCCCGGCCCCCGCCGCCTCCGGGCGCCAACTCCGAGCCCTGCGGGAAGGGGAGGCGGGGCCGGCCTCTGCGGCTTAGCCCAGTGGGAGCCCCTACTGATAAAGCTACCGGGAGGGGCGGCGAGCCCAGTGGGGGACAGGCGGAGCTCGGGGTGAGCTCAGCCCTGGGGCGTGACACCTGGCCAGCGGCACGCTCCTCCCCACTCCCCCGGCACGGGACTCAGGGGCTGGCGCTAACCCGCTTTCACCCCATGGCTGTTCGGCGACAGGGAGCTGCGGGGCACTCGCTGGGGTCTGATCCAACCGCCGGGAAAGCTAGTTGGAAGACTGGTATTGATTTCACTGAGAACTGGATCGGACCCTGGAAGGAGTGAGGTGTACAGTCTCCGGGAACGGGGCCGTGGCCCTAGCAGTAGAAACTCAATCTGCAGCTCCAGCTGATCTGACCCCCCTCTTGACCTATTTTACAGAGAGAGCCCAACCATGAAATTGGAGTCCGGATCCAGTTAAGTCTCTGACCCCCGTCCCTCAAAATCCCCAAAACCACCTTTCCGGAGTGGACTCCTGCAATTGCAATAAACCCTGATCCTGGCAACTCCTGGACATTGCAACTACTGAGGTGTAAAATTACTCCCTAAAGCGTGTGCAGGGTTGGGGTTCAGAGATTGTAAAACTGCTTGCGGCAGGGAGGGACTATCTCTTCCTATGGGTTTGTACAGTGACTACTAGCACAATGGGGCCTCTGTTGTGATTGGGATCTATAATAACAATTAATAGGTATCAGTGTGATGTAAATAATAATTAGTATAATAAAATCACTTGTCTTAATAAAAGTTTTACACTTATGCTGCAAAGATGAAAAATACAGGTAGATGAGGCGTGTATAAATGTGATGAGTAAAAATAATAATAGGAAGAAATAATCTCAATATATACTTAAAAATAGAACAATTGAAATAACACAAAGACTCTTCCTACCCTGTCTAAAATAATGTTACATGAGAGAAGCTAATGAGTGAGACTTGGCAAATCAGCGTATAGTGTTACCTTTTAACAACCCTTTCAGCATTACTTGTTTCATTTCATGTTTGTTTGCTTGCATTTACAGCATGATGTACTAAAAAGAGATCGGGGAAGGAGGCTGTACTGGGATTCATTTTAAGTAGTTCTGTCAATGTTTATCAAAATTGAGCTGCATTTGTCAAAAGTGATACATGGTTCTTGAAGGCAAAATGTGTTAGCAATAGCACAAACATAGGGCATCCTCCGCCTCCCACTGAAATAACGGTCAGACTTCCACTGATTTCAAAAGGAGAAAAGCAGACCCATGCAACACAAAAATAATTTGGGGTCAATCAGTTGGGGTCAGTGAGCAGAGCATTGCTGCAGTCTATGGAGCTAGGCTAATTTACACAAGTGACCAAACTGGTCCAAAATATGAAAGCAGGTGTCTGCTATGAAGAGCAAGATTGGGGAAGTCTGTATTTGCACTGTTTCTACTAATATTTTTTGCCTGGAAAGATAATTTATTAATCACTAGTTACAATAATGGATTTATCAGGAGGAACTTCCCAAGCTATGTTACAGAGGACCAAATAACAGCTCTATAGTGAAGGGTTTTTAAGAAATTTCAGCATAAACCTTTATTTTCATGGTTTTTCACTTCCACATAGGCATCTTTGTTCCCAAAACCAAGCTTATCAGTCATGCTTTACTTTTACAGATGAGATGAAAAAATCAAAACATTTGGGTACAGTATTTTGTTTTGAAAATTAGCTGCTTTACATTGCCAATAACTTGTTCTGAAAACAAATGTTAATAAGGCATTTTCCTATGCTGATTTAGGACTTGATTCTGCAACCCCTTACACAAGTGTGCAGTCCCATCCATGTCTGTGGGGCTAGTTGCATAAATATTTCAGGACTCAGTCCACAGTGAATATATATAGACACTGAGGCATTTTTATCTACTTCTTCCATGCAAACTCCACCTACTGCTGCTGGTGTTCTCTGTGTGGAGTTTGGGAGATGAGGACATTGGGCTGAGTATCCAAGAGTGGTCCCTCTAAAGAAGAAGGGATTCTGGAAGTCTCTAATTTACCCCTTACACCTCTAACTAGACATGGTTTAGATAGTCACAGGGGATTCGCTAATTTCAATTAGGTAAACTGTGCTGCCAGTACTGGAGGGTGGGGGGCAGGGTGTTTTGAGCATTAGGCAGGTTTGTGAGGCCTTCACCCTTGGACCTTTGGTCTGTGTGTGAATTTCAGGTCATACTCACTGCCTGCTCCAGCAAACAGCTAGGTGCACTGGAACGGAGATGACATCTAGGATTATCCCATGGTGCATATATGCAAGGCCCCATGATCTATGCAGAGCTGCCAGGTAGCTAGAATCTTCATACTTTTACCCAGCAGCTGCTGTAACTAGCTTGCACTCCACTGCCAATGACCTGCTGTAGACACAGATCATGGGACATCCCACTCAAGGGGTCTGACATAGGCAACAGCCTCATAGCTCCTGATTGGCTCTCTGCCCTATATAAACCCCAGGGGCATTCCAGGGAAAATTCAGGCAACAATGTGGATCTCCTGTAGCTGCTATGACCATTCCAGCTCTTGGCTTTGACCTCAGCTTGATTTGTGTCTTCACCAGCTGCCCCAGACCCTGAAAACTGACTCAGAGTCTGACCTTTGGTTTTGATGCTGGTCTGGAACCCAAGTATGAACTCCTCCTAGGGTTGCCAGAACGACCAGAACACCTAGTCAAAAAGGGACCCCGGTGGTTCCTGTGAGAACTGCTGACTGGGCTGCTAAAAGTCTGGTTGGCTTCAGCGGCTGGCTCCATGCGGCTCCCAGAAGTGGCTGGCATGTCCCTCCAACTCCTAGGTGCAGGGGAGCTGCGTGAGTGGTGCCTGCAGATGGGGGCAGCGTGCCGAGCCCCCTAGCCTCCCCTGCACTTAGAAGCCAGAGGGACATGCTGGCCAATTCTGGGAGCCTGCACTCTCTCCCACACCCAAACTCCCTGCCAGAGCCCGCACCCCTCCCCCAGCTCTGAGCCCCCTCCTGCACCCAAACTCCCTCCCAAAGCCTGCCCCCCCCACACCCCAAACCTCTGCTCCAGCCCTGAGCCCCACTCTGAACAACCCAGCCCCACCCCAGAGCCTACACCCTGAGTCCTCACCCTCACCCCCTCCTGGACTCCAACCCCCAGCTCCAGCCTGGTGAAAATGAGTGAGTGAGTGAGTGAGGGTGGGGGAGAGAGAGTGACAGAGGGAGGTGGGGTGGAGTGAGTGGGGATGTGGCCTCAGGTTGGGGGTGGGGCAAAGGTGTTCTGTTTTCTGCTGTCAGAAAGTTGGCAACCCTAATTTCTCCATTCTTCCCAGCCTCAGATTTGCCCCTACTCTGACCCTTGGTCCTGACTGCCTTTGTTGGGATCCTGACATGTATATATATGTACATTTCCTTCTCCCCTTTTTTTGCTGCAAGAGGAGAGTCTATGTCCTGTACTGACATCAAAATCATAGTCATAGCAACTAATTATAATATCACAAGCAGATAATTATGACTTCAGTTGAGGGATGAGAAACAAGGAGCATTTGTTAATAATAATTTCAAATGGATTAAGGGGAGTGTGTGTATGGAAGGAGCTATTATGGGTGGGTTGGTAATTATTTTTTGGGCATTGTCTGTAATTATTTGCACATTTTTGTTTGCAACTCTTTGTGTGCATAGAGCATAGACCAGACATACTTTTTGTACATCTACATCAATTAATAAAATAAATATAGAATACTAAAGCTGAAGAAGAAAATTACATAATTTGCAGTCTGTAAAGAGCATCATTGCTAAACAGAACATTTTTCAAAGTTTGCTATGATGCAAATGCAACTCTTTAAGAAAAGACAGGATAGTTTAACTATGAATTCCTTTGCTTTTGTTGTATTGTTAGTCTGTAGTATTTAACATCCATTCAGGCCTGTCCCTAGAGGGGTGCGGGGCCCGGGACGAATCAGCCCCCACATAGGTGCGGGAATTAAGGGTGCGGGGGGTGCTGCAGTACCCTTGGGCTCCCGGATGCCAGCCCCACCTCCAGGGTCTCAGTTGGGGTCCCTGTGCCTGGGGTCCTGGCTGCTGCCCCACACGCTTGGGGCTCTGCTACCACCCCGCGCACGCGGGGCTCTGACTGCTGCCCCGCGCACTCGGGGTCTTGGGTGCCGGCCACTCACACTGGCCCGCAGGGCCCCCCAAAGCACGGGGCCCACAGCTGTCGCCCCAATTCGCTCTACCCAAGGGACGGCTCTGCATCCAGTATCTGTCTTTGTATGCATAAAAGCATTTAAGTATAGTAATTCCTTTATCTGGAGTATTGATGCCACAATTGTACTTCTGATTTTTAAGACAAAAAGGAGCATAACATTCTATAAATATATGTAGTGAAACAAAGGAAAGAATATTACAGTGATAGTGTCCTTTTACTTGGTTGATTTATTTATATCTCCCTCTCACTGTTTATAGTAACCCAGTGTGACATGGAGTTTTTTTTCTTTTCTTATCAATATTGTTTATCTTGCTGTTTATAGCATGATATCTTTTGAAAATATATAAGAAGAAGGTAGCTCAGATGTTGAAGATACCAACCTTCATAGATTCATAGAGTTCAGAACCAAAAGAGACCATTCAATAATCTAGTCTGACCTCCTGTATATCACAGGCTGTTAAATTTCACCCAGTTACCTCTGCATTAGGCACAATAATTTGTGTTTGACTAAAGCATGAGTTCCTAAAGGCATCCAGCCCTTGTGAAGCCATCTGGAGAATTCATCATTTCCCCTGATAGCTTCCTCCAATGACTAGTCATGCTCACTTTTTTTTTATGTGTAATTTCTAACTTAAGTTTGTCTGGCTTCGTCTTCCAGCAATTGGTCCTTGTTATACTTCTCTCTGCTAGATTAAAGAGCACTTTAGTATCCAATGTTTTCTCCCATGAATGTACTTGTACACTATAATCAAGTCACCTCTCAATCTTCTTTTTGATAGGCTAAATAGATTGAGCTTTTAAAATCTCACTCCAAGGCATTTTTTCCAGCCCTCAAATAATTGGTGTGGCTCTTTTCTTCACCCTCTTCCGTTTTCAACATTCTTTCAATCTGTGGAAACCGGAACTGGATGCAGTATTCCAGTGCTCTCACCAAAATCACTTCCTAACTCCTACTCACTACTCCCTGATGTATGTATCCAAGGATACCATTAGCCCTTTTAGCCACAGTATCACCCCCACTGCTCATGTTTAGTTGTCTGTCCACTATAATCCCTAAATTCTTTTCAGAATACCTACTTTCCAGGATATAGTCTCCCAATCTATAGGTCTGACATGTTCCTAGATGCACATGTAGGTGAAATGTTCTGTATGGGATGCAGTCATTCTTCCTAGATGTATAACTTTGCATTTGGCTATATTAAAACACATTTTGTTTTATGGGCTCCTCAAAAAATGAAATCAGGTTTGTTTTACAAGACAGTGATAGTATTTCTTTCAATCTGGGGAAATTAGGTTGAGAGAGAAGAGTGCTACAATCACTGTACATTTACTAATTTTAAGTTTTGTCAATGGAGTAATAATAAATTAGGAAAAGGAAACTAGAATTCCCAAAACTAGAATGGGAAAGGATGTCAGAACCACCTATGCAATATTTTAGGTATTCAATCATACTTCCTTCATGGATTTTAAAAAAAGGATATGGAAAAGACATTGCCTGATGTTGCCACTGTTCCACTACATCCTGGATGACTACTGTATTACAGGCATTCTAAAGGGAGAAGCTTTGTTGTGTGA